CAAAATAGTGTTAATTCTTTTGATGATTTGGACTTAGAAGAAAATGATGAAGGAGAAGATAACATAATTGAAACAAGTGATGATGAAAATATTTCTTTAAACTCTAATATAGATTCAATTCTAAATAATCATTTATTATCATTTAAAATTTTAGAAGCTAAATAATGAATGTCATTTTTTTATTTGTATTTTATTATATATAAGTTAATTTTATTTATTATTCATCTTTTTTATCTTTTTTAAAGTATTGTTAACGGTAAAATAAAATTTAAAAAAAATTTATTTTGGTAATGATCGTCATTTTACACAAAATGAAATAAGCCAATCACAGGGAAAGCCCGCTATGTTTTTGGCAAATGCAAAAACAATTTTGGCTAACATGCTTGGTTTATTTATATTATTTATTCATTAATGAAATACTACATATCACAATAGAACACATTAATTTTGTCTTGAATCAAAATGTTTATTTAAAATTGTTTCTTCATCAATTTCTTCATCAGTCTCTATCTCTGCAACTTCTACTTCTCTTTGTTCAATTACAACACTAACTTGAATTTTCAAGAGTTCACATAAGTCTTGGTTGTTCACATTGAAATATTTATCAAATGTCTCTCCTTCCCCTGCAATATCATTTTCCCCTGGTTGTATGACCTCTTCTTCCTCTTCATATTCTTCAATGTTGTCAATTTCTTCTGTCAGCTCCAAATCATTTTCTTTTTCATTTTCATTTTCATTTTCATTTTCGTTTTCATTTTCTTCTAAATCAAATTCTATAATTGATCTATTTACTTCTTCATTAAATTTGTCATCATCTACATCATCTACAGGATAATTGAGCAGACTTTTCCCATTAGATATGTAATAAGTATGCAATCTGGCCATTTTATTGAGTCTTTCCACATTCAAGCTAAAAAAAATATTAATTTAATACAAGTTTAATATTTACTATATATATTAAATATACAATGAAAAAAGTTTACCAAGTCCTGCGTTTTGACATAAACCAACCTAAAACTGAGAAAAGACATTCGCAATTTACATTATGAGGTATTATACTAAGAATTTTTAATGACAACATTTGAATATAATTTTTTTCTTGTTTGCAACCAACCCACCAAGTTTTTGGTGTTTCAATTCCTTCAACAAATTTAACATCATAAGTATACTCATATGCTTCATATGCATGTAATTGTGCAATTAAAATATCAGTATTTGCTGATGTTTTTTTGACTGGAATCCAAATACGAAGTGCTGCTTGACAAATTAACCTCAATGTTTCATTTCTTGTACCTACACCCCTATATTTAAGATGTAAAAAATATGCAAGGATATAAAGATCAAAGTCAAACTGACGCCATCTTTTATTAAATATTTCAATTGCATCATTACGAAACTGTTGATTTATTTCTTCTGACATGTCTTTTATAGCCATATTTAATTTTATCAATTGTATAAAACAGTCAGCAAGTGTTGTTGATTTAAATTCTAAACATTTTATTGCATTTTTTATTGGCTCTAAAACCATTGACAAATCCTCCACTTGCTGCCAAAACATATGGTTTCTTAAAATTGATTTTACTTCTGATGACAAGCATTCTGTATCATTTATGAGAACCTAAACATGTGAATTAAAATTATTGAACAAAGTAAATAAATATGTTTACAAGTATTAAAATCTTCATTACAATATATATCATTTATGTGAACTTTAAAAATGAAGTAAATAAATATAAAAAATAACTAGTATTTAATATAATAAATAATGTATGTAAAAATTGTGGTGTGTGGTTTTGGTTAAGAAAAATATATAATAAAATTTTTTAAGTAAAAATACTAACATTCTTTAAACAAGTTTCTAATTGTAAAATAGATGCTGTACAATCATATGCAGTTACCCATCGTGTTTTTACATAACCTTGTAAGTTACCTCCTATAATTAAACGATCATTGATTTCTTGCCTTAACATGGAACCTGCCCTATATGAACATTTAAAATATCTGACAATCTTATTACATTTGTTCAAAATTATTTTTGCCCAACTTGTTTTACAAATGTCTGAAGAGATTAAATTTACATGGTGAGTAATACATCGGATTGGATAAATACTAGGATATGTCTGATTAACAAGTCTTTTTGCAGCAACCATTGTAGCAGCAGAGTCTGAAATTATAGATGCAAATTTGTTCACACCAACCTTTTCTAAAATACATTTGATCTCATTTGATAAAAATTCTGCCGTGTGTTTTTCTGAGGAATAATCTTTTAGAGAGTAAAAAATTTCAGATCTTGACTCAGTGACAATTACAAATGCATAAAAGGAATTTCCTAATGGTGATGTCCAACCATCAAAACACAATGAAAGGTTTTTCGAATATCTTAATTGGTCTTCAGTACTGATCATAACTTTGCCTGCCTCTTGGTTCAATAAAGTAGTTGATAAAGTTGTCCTTGAAGGTGGATTATATCCTGGGCACAATGTTTTTGCAAAGTCTACAAAAAAAGGGTGCTCAACAATAGAAAAAGAAACACCACAACATGTGAAAAATTTTACCAATGATTTATTAATTAATTTATTTCTTTGTTCTTCAATCAAGAACAGAAGATTTTTTGAATCCTGTTGAAGAAAATGAAATAGAAGAACCTGTAGATGAGGAGACAATTATTCAATTAATTCAAGAAGAAGGTAATGAAAATCAGAATGAGGAAGATGATGAAGGAAATGAGTTACCTGTTATTTCTGCTAAGGAAGGATTAGAAGCTTTAGAAAAAGTCATGACATTCTTGTTGCAGCAGTCTAGAGATTGTTCAGATGAAATTAAAAAGTTGGCTAGTGTAAATAATACTGTGAAAAAGATTTATTCTGATTCTATGAAACAAAGTGCTATTAATGATTTTTTTGAAAAATAATAATAAAATAAATTCTAGTTGATCTTTTTCCTTTTATAGCATAAATATGCATATATACATTGTGGGGACTTAGTAGAATCAGGATCACTTTTGATGCATATGCACATTTATGTTATGCAAATAGTTCATAAGTCCCAATGTGGGACTAAGCTACCTTTATGCAAATGAACAGATTATGCAAATATACGGTATGCAAATAGACAGGTGCGACTGTATAACAATGCAGATAGTTATAACAGTAATTATCATAATTATTTTATTTTGTTATTTTGAATTCAGAGAATACTTATTCATTGCTTTTATAATGTTATCTTTTTCAAAACAATAATATAAAATTTAAGCATATGAATTTTATGTGAAATCCACAGCTGCACAAGAGTAAACTATTTATTTATTTTAATATAAAAAGAGAAATGTACGGTTTTGCATAATAATGGCAATCATGTACAGTGACGTAAATAGTTTTGATATAATTAAATATGGGTGGAGTCGAAAAAAATATCATGTACAACTCTTTGTCACTTGATACATTTTTTAATTATTATTTATTACACAGGTAAAACTCGATAAGATGACTGGGCATGATATTGAGAACACGTGACTTTAAATTATTTATATTACAATTATAGTGTAAAAAGAGAGACAAACAGCCCATGCGGACAATTTCCGAAAGGTTACATCTTTATCCCTCAGTTCGTAGGGATAGAGCCTCGGCTTCATATAAGAGGGATATCCCCCCTTATCAATCTTATCAATCTTTATTGGTCGGATAATTCACTTAAGATCTACGGACCAGGTGATATCTGTGCATTTATATTTATCCCTCGCCAGGCTAAAGCATGCATCCCTCTGAACACAGGGATAAAGATCACACCTACTCGAAAATTGTCCACATATGGTGGAGACAAAAAATTTATTCTAAATAAATATCATGCATGTTTTCTACTGATCTTCATTTTAAATCTCTTAAACCTGAAACAAATGAACTGTCTACTTTTATGTCAACGTTTTTTTAGATATTGGAGTTGTGTCATCTTCCTCTTCTTCGTTCTCAGGAGCCTTTTGGACTGCTGCATATTTTATTAAAAATAATAATTTGCCAATGACACATGTTACTAAAAATAGATGACTTCTCTCAATGAAATATCGTGTGAGATTGTATCAAGAGTAATTTGTATATACCTTAGAAGAGGGGTTTGTCGGCTTACAGCCTATCACGATTTTATATAGATTGACCAACTTATCAAGGGATTTTAAAGGCTGAAAACTTTTGGCCGAGTTATCAAGAGACCGACTTATCGAGTTTACCCGCGTATTATGACAATTGAATTTTGTTAATATTAATGAATTCGTTAATAAGTATTCATTCTTATGATCAGAGTAGGGTATTATTTATAGCGAACAGATTTGATTATTTCTCAAGTCAATTATTCATATTCAAAAAAAGTTATTGTTAAAGTACACAGAATTCGAGTTGTTTATATACGTAATGTTTCATTAGAGGACTGCCCTGTAAAAAAAACTGATCTGTGACTTGAAATTCTATGCTTTCTCCAGAAATATATCATATCATGGAAAGATTACAGAGGAAATATGGACTTTGTCACTGTTGCAAATTCGTGGAAATTTTCAGGAGTATTGATGGAATTTAAATTCAAATAACGGACTTTTTTTTTATAGAGCTGCTCCTTCGACTAAGTTTACATTGACAACCTTGACGATGTTGTCTACTAAGTCTAGCATTGCTCCTCGTCAATTTAGTCAATATTGTAGTCTTGGTCAACAACACAAATTAAATAATACGCACGTCAAATACAATATAACAAAATCTTGATAAAATGATAAATAATTAATAAATAATAATAGGGATCAATATTTCCGTGTACATTATTAATCCAAAAAGTAGATGGGTTGCAAGAAACTTGCACTAATTTCAAACAACTCGAAATCTTATTGCCTCGAATTCGAACTATATTTGTATTAGTATTAGTATTTCTCTATTCCTATTTCGATTCTATCCAAACACAAACCCCAATCTCTATTTTTGAAATATTGATGATGTGCGAGTTAAAAAAGTCATGAGATACAAATAAATTTATGAATAAATAATTCTCCCTTATTGTTATAATAATAATTGCCAAATTTCTATAGAAAACCCCCAGTTTTGGAAATGTCTAATTAACCCAATTAACCAATCAATTAACCAATTGGTCATTTCCCTTCTTCATGTCTATTTTTGATTAGATTAAAAAAATTTAAATTTAATTGATTACAATTCAAAAAAATCAAAAACTAAAAATTAAAAATTAAAACATAATCAAGATGTCGGTAATGTCTCAAAGTAAAAATGCAGCATATGATTATCTTATTAAACTTCTGTTAATTGGGGATTCAGGTAAAATGCTTTTTCCTATATATATAAATAAACAAATTTTTCAATGAATTTTTTTTATTTAGTCGTTAATTTATCATTTGTACTTTGTATCAAAAAATAAGGTGTTGGAAAAAGTTGCTTATTACTTCGGTTTTCAGATGATTCTTTTACACCTTCTTTTATAACTACCATTGGAATTGATTTTAAGATTAGAACGATTGAATTAGATGGGAAACGAATTAAACTTCAAATTTGGGATACTGCTGGTCAAGAACGTTTCCGCACCATTACCACAGGTAACTAACTAAACATTTACTAATTTACTAAGGAACAAAATAAAGTCATTACTAGATTTTCTAAATAATGAATGAATGTATTTATATATTAAGCTTATTATCGTGGAGCAATGGGTATACTTTTGGTTTATGATGTTACCGACGAACGTTCATTCAACAGTAAGTGTTGATAATGAGAGAAGTATTTTTTTATATTTAATTAATAACATTAATAATAACAATCAATTATATACAATTATTTCAGATATAAGAAATTGGTTTTCAAATATAGAACAACATGCAAGCGAAGGAGTCAACAAGATTCTCATCGGAAATAAATGTGATTGGGTTGAAAAAAAAGCAATTGCCAAGGAACAAGGACAAGCACTTGCTGATGAATTTGGAATTAGATTCTTGGAAACTAGTGCTAAAGCTAATATTAATGTAGAAGAAGCATTTTTCACTTTAGCTAGGTAAATATTGGTTGAATCAATATATTATAGATTTTTATTTTTACTTTATATTCATACATAAATATGTACTAATATTATTATATATAATAGAGATATCAAGAAAAGACTTATAGATACTCACACACATGAGCAGCAACATAATCAAAATAAGAGAATTGAATTGGAGAAGAATAATGTCAAATCCAACACAGGATCGAGTTGTTGCAATTAATATACATATTTATTCTTATTTTTTTATTTATTACAAATAACTAATTATATTAGATATATAGAATCTATTTTTTTGTTTTTTTTTGTACTTTTACCATATTTTTTTTTTGTTTGTCAATAATATGTATATTTGTAATTGAATGTCAAAAATGGAATTTGTTATTATGTTGTGCTGTTGCTAGGCCTTATCAAAAGAATCATCGGGTAAAAAACTGCCATCAATTTTCTGATTGTGAATACAGGGATTGACATAGCATGTACGGATGATCTCGATATGCACACATACATCAATTATTGTCATATGATTCTAACTATTTTTTTATAATAAAGTTGAATTAAATGTGATTTTCAAATAAATATTTCAAATGAATTTATAGCACGTGAATAAGATGTTGTCATCCGAGTAAAGTCATTTATAAAGATTTTTTTTGAATTTATTTTTTCGAAATAAAAAATTTATCTTCTTTCCCATCACATTAAAAGAAATGGCACCCGCAGAAACTATCATGCAAGAAAGTCATATTGATTCAAAAAATAATATAATTACAATCGATCCATGGTTAAAACCTTTTGAACAATCCATAAACAGAAGGTAAACAATTATCTAATTGCTTTTTAAATTATTCCGAAAATTAAATTTTTAAATTATTCCAAAAATTAAATTTTTAAAATATTTAAAAATTGATATAGGTATTCAAACTACAAACAATGGATCGACAATATAAATAACAACGAAGGTGGCTTGGAAAAATTTTCACGTGGATATGAAAAATTTGGTCTTAATGTACTTCCAAACAATACCATTGTCTACAGAGAATGGGCACCTAGTGCAAAAGCTGCAAGTCTAGTTGGTGAATTTAGTATGTAGTTATTCAATCATTCAAGCATTTTGTCTATTAATTGATTAATTGATTAATTGGTTAATTGGTTAATTGGTTAATTGGTTAATTGATTAATTGATTAATTGATTAATTAATCCTTGATTTGATCATTTTTCTGTTAGATAATTGGGATGTTAAAGCCCATCCAATGAAAAAAAATGATTTTGGAGTTTGGGAAATTGAGATTCCTCCAAATAATGATGGTACTCCAGCAATTCCACACAACACTAAAATAAAGGTAAATCCATCAATAAATTCATTATTATTATTATTATTATTTGTTCATTCATTTCTTCATTTCTTCATTATTAATTTATTTAATAAAAAAGATTTCAATGACTACACAAAATGATGAATGTATTTATCGAATACCAGCATGGATTAAACGCGTGACACAAGATTTATCTGTAAGTGCAACATATGATGGCATCTTTTGGAATCCTCAAAGTAAATATGAATGGAAAAACAATTTACCTAAAAAGCCATTAGGTTTAAGAATTTATGAAGCACATGGTATATAAATTAATTTTTTATACAAAAGTTTTTCTTATATTTCCTCAATAAATTAATACATTAATACATTATTATATTTTTATAAATATATATACAAGTTGGTATATCAACAACTGAAGGTCGCATTGGAACTTATAAAGAGTTTGCAGATAATGTATTACCTCGTATAAAAGATCTAGGCTATAATTCTATTCAACTGATGGCTATTATGGAACATGCATATTATGCATCTTTTGGATATCAAGTTACCAGTTTTTATGCTATCTCTAGTCGTTATGGTATTTAATATCATTAACATTATAATAATAATAAGATTAATGAACACTGGATATTTTCACAAAAATAAATATAGTAATTGTTCTTTTTTTCATTTAATAGGAACTCCTGAAGAATTGAAATATCTCATTGATACTGCTCATGGCATGGGGTTGGCTGTGTATTTGGATGTTGTTCATTCGCATGCTTGCAAAAATGTTTTGGATGGCTTGAATATGTTTGATGGTTCAGATCATTGCTATTTCCATGAAGGAGAAAAAGGAAGGCATGATCTTTGGGATAGGTTATTATGATTAATAATATTAATTAAAAAGATATACACACACACATGTATTGTTTTTAATGTTATTAAAATAAATTATTTATTATCTATTTATTATAAATAGTCGCTTGTTTAATTATGGACATTGGGAGGTACTTCGGTTTTTACTATCAAATCTTAGGTTTTATATGGAGGAATATAAGTTTGATGGATTTAGATTTGATGGAGTCACCAGTATGATGTACAAACATCATGGCATTGGAACTGGATTTTCTGGTGGTTATCATGAATACTTTGGTGATTCTGTGGATGAAGAAGCTATTGTATATTTGATGCTGGTAATTTTCATTATAGTCTAATAGAAATATTTTTAATTTTAAAAAATTTAATATATTAATATGCTTATTTAATAGGCAAATGATATGTTGCATCAACTTTCTCCAAATAATATGATTACAATAGCAGAAGGTAATCTTTATAATTAATATACCTTTATCATTTTTTCCATCATCATTGTTGTTATAACATTTCTTACAATTTTACAAAAAGATGTATCTGGTATGCCTGGTTTATGCCGTCCAGTATCTGAAGGTGGTGTTGGATTTGATTATAGATTAGGTATGGCTATTCCAGATATGTGGATTAAATTATTGAAGGAACAAAAAGATGATGAATGGAATATTGGAAATATTAGTTGGACATTAATCAATAGAAGACATATGGTTTATTTTTTAAAATTTTTTTTAATATATTAATTTTTTTTTTTTGTAAATAAAATAAAAATAATAATTATAAATCTTTTGGAAATATTAATAACAAAAAAAAAGGAAAAAACAATTGCATATGCTGAATCTCATGATCAAGCACTTGTCGGTGATAAAACAATTGCTTTCTGGCTAATGGATAAGGAGATGTATACTCATATGTCTGATATGACTCCCCACACTCCAATTATTGATCGTGGAATTGCATTACACAAGATAATCAGGTATTACTTTAATAAATAAATAAATTATTTTAATATTAATTAATAATATATTATTTAATTTAGGTTATTGACTCATGGACTTGGAGGTGAAGGATATCTTAATTTTGAAGGCAATGAATTTGGACATCCAGAGTGGTTAGATTTCCCTCGTCAAGGAAATGGTAATTCATACCATTATGCAAGAAGACAATGGAATATTGTTGATGATAAACTTTTGAGATACAAATATTTGAATGAGTTTGATAAAGCAATGCAAAATTTGGAAGAAAAATATGGTTGGTTGAGTTCACCTCAGGTAAAATAAAAAATAATAAAATAATAATAATTCATGATGTAAATTAATTAATTTAATATCATCTTTAATTTTGATTTATTCTTTGTTGAAGGCTTATGTTTCATTAAAACATGAAACCGATAAGGTTATTGTGTTTGAACGAGGAAATTTATTATGGATTTTCAATTTTCATCCTACAAATTCATTTCCTGATTATAAAGTTGGTACAGAATGGTCTGGTAAATATACAATTGTATTAAACTCGGATAATAAAAGATTTGGAGGCCATGATAGAATAAATGAGAGCATAGCTTATTTTTCATCACCCGAATCTTGGAATGGAAGAAAGAATTCTATCAAGGTATATATAAATATAAATATAAATATAAATATACATATGAATATAACTCACATATGATTATAATTAAAAATTTTATTTTTTAGGTTTATATTCCATGTCGTGTTGCATTAGTTTTAGCACATGATTAAGTTTTTTTTAAAATTTGCATTTTCAAATTATTTAAATTATTTATTTTTATAATAATTTGTAATATTATTATTTATAATTAAATAAATATCACACACAAATCAAAATTTTATCATTGCCATTTATATTTTAAAATTTATTAAATCACTCAATTATTATAAAAAGATTTGAAATAACAAAAAAATTAATTATAGGATTTCAATGGCAGCTCTAATGTGTAAATATGCACCATCACATATCAAATATCTCATACAATGACAATTAATCTCTGGCAACAATCATGCCAGGATTGTCAGATACATGCTCTAGATTTTTTTGATGGTGGCAAATAAATATTTATCAAACTAAATTTAATAAAACCAACATAATTGTTTTGAATAAATTTGCTCTACATCTTCATATTTATTGATATTTTGGAATGCTATTGATATTTCTTGCTAAAGGCTCTTTTAATTGACTCTTTTCCTGTCAATATCTTCTTGCAATGGTTCATTTCTTTATCCAATGTTTATTTTATATCATTCCATAATTGTTTTTGCATCTCATATACAAGTATTGCACAAAGTGTATCCATATTAATATGCAGTACATTTCTTCTTTTTGAAATCTTAGAAACTTGGTTTAAAAGGTAATTTAAATCTTTCCAAATAGTCATCAATTGTTGGTATTTTTAATTCACAAATAATGCTTTCTCTACTAGAACAAGTCCAAAATTGCATTTAATTTATATCAATCCAACCACTTCTAATACATTGTACAAATTCCAAAATTCCATTCAAGGTTAGTTATCCATTAGTGTTCCTGAAATATCTTTGTTATCCATACATTCTGTCATTAAATTAGAGCTATCTTGCTCAGCTTATCACATCAGCAGCTAATCAGTACCTGATAAATTGCAAAAATTATGTCATGACAAATATTAAAAGAAGAATCAATAAATGGATTCAACATAAATTGGCTTGGATACCATTTTCAAAGTAAAGACTTACAAAATCAGTGAACCACCTCTATAAATCCTTTACAGTGGTTCAAGACTTTGACTTCCATCATTTTTTTTAATATCAGAGATCCTTTGCTTTTTGACATTTCCTCTAATAAATTTATTTATATATTCGCAAAAGGCAAGAAATCTTTTAGAATCCTTGTCATTAGAAAACAAAGTAAAAAAAAATTGATAGAAATATCTCCTCTTTATTAAAAATATTTCAAAAAATCCTCTTTGCTCTTTCACAATTCTTCTGCTATACAAAGAAACACAAACATTGACACTGAAGCATTATACAAATTAAGGGCTTTTACTAAACGTAGTGATCTAGTAATTAGGGAAGCTTTCAAAGAAAATTTTGATCATTGGTGAGGAATGGAAGCTTTATATAAAAAAATTTTCTACTAGAAATAAAACATTTACATATTATTTACAAACTGATGGTATATGTGCTTCTGTTCACCTACAAAGGCCAAAAAAATTGGTGAAAGGAATGATGATGAATATGAAAAATTAAGTTGATATTGACCATGGAAGAAGGTATTTATTTGTTGTTGTAAACCAAATGAAAAAGTAATTAAATGCAGCACAAAAGAATATTATGAGATGGCTGGGTTTAGGAAGACAAGAAAAAAAAGTGAAGTTTGGATGAATAAAAATAAATGCATACAAGCCATTGTTAAACATTTGGATTTTTTTTTTGAAAAATTAATTAATTAAATATTATTATTCAATTCAATATTATATATTTCAAGTTTACCAACACCTTCTGTTTCTTCAGTTCAGTTCATGGTTTCCAAGTGCAGCATCTCTCTGAAGCACTTTTTTATATGGATGATTTATTTGATTTTTATAAAGAAAAACATTGGAGAAGGTTAAGATGGTCAAACGGCCAAACTATATTGGTAAACAAAAAGACTATGGATAAAATCTGTAGGAGCATTTGCCAATAACGAAGAGAAAACTGTTGTGGCGTTTGAGTAAATATTACCTATTCTCATGATACTAATTTTTTATATTATTTAAAGAATTAAAATTTTTTTTCTTTTTATAATCACAGTCATGCTCCATTCCTATCAAGTTCTAAAGGACATGCTTGCTAGTCCAGTAAAGTAGCTGGTGTGGGAGTTAGGGAAAAGATGCAGAATAAAAATTATTAATGAATTTAGAACTAGTAGAATATTGTTCCAAGTGTGAAGGGATATTTAGTAAATCTCAACAGTTTTGGACACTCCAGACATGTAGACACATGTGCCAGACCCTCTGGGATCATAATGTTAATGCTGCCCGAAACATATTTTTGTACATGAATGAGAATGAGGGAGAAAGACTTGAGATTTTTAAGGAGGAGTAGGGGTGAGGGGAACTTAAATTGACCCCACTGCTGCACATAATAGTGACAGAAAAATCTTGTTGGCCAGCAGCAGCAATTTCGTCACAGTCAGCTATAGGATGATTCCGATTTAGCATAACACAAATTTTATTCGTTAAATGTAAAAAAAAACTTTTAATCACAATAATAATAATAATAATGACAAACTAAAAACGATTATTTATTTATAGAGGTTTGTGTGACAAATTGAAAAGATACGTATATGGTGCGACGTAGTACTACGTCACTGTCAAAATTTTTTGTGTAATCTTAATTGGGCTCGATCAAATTAGAAATCTGCTTGCATTAATAATTTTCAATTTCAGCCAAACAACCAAGTGCCAAAACTTCAAATAGAGCTTATGAAAGAGTTTTATTATTTTGTAGTTCCTAACCGAAAATCAAATTTTTTACGACTATTCGAAAATCAATTTATTCAGGATAATTTATTTCGTAATTATTTCGGATACTCGTAATTATTTTGGATACTCGTAATTATTTTGATACTTATATTATTTTGAATATAATCATTTCAAACATTTGTTATGATAATATTGTAACAACTCATGAATAATTATCGATTGATAACAAATAATAGTACTAACTTATTTTGCTCTCGTGTTTCTAAGGTGTCCGGCTTCTCTTCTTTACTATTTACTATTTGCTGTGTATCGAAATAATCAGCACTTTTTATCATATTCACAGTAAATATTTTGGTTACAGCATGCCCATATAATTTAAAGATAATATAGTAAATGAAGTAGAGTATTTATGTTTCTTTAATATTTTGTAGTAAATATTATCGATCAAAGATACTGAAAAAGAATCATTAAAGTCAATTAAAGGCAATCAAAACCAAATTATTATGTAAACACGTTGACTTAAATAAAAAAGTGAAAAATCAAATATGATGCATATGCTTTGGATAGTGAATATGAACAAAATGACATAATTGGCACGGTAAAATCCTCGTTTTTTTTTTTGAGACTAACCAACTATCCTATATGAATAGATGCAGAATGTAAAGTCTTTGGGTAGTACAATTGTGATGTCATAGCTAATTGTTGGTCCTGTCCACTTTATCTATAGTTGCCCATATTAAAAGCAAAAAAAATTGAATAATATTTTACTTCATTAATTTCTCAAGAGAAAGAATAAAAAAATGTTTGCTAAAAAAAATAATTCAAATTTTAAAGTCATATTTAATTATCATCATTTTAAACAACAAAGAAATCACCATAATCATCACCAGTATTATCAATGTCAATCTTATCAACATCTCCATAAATTATTTTTTAGTAGTAATAGTGATAGCAATAGTAGTGATATTGATAGTAGAAGTAATGGTGGATATGGATCTACAGAAAATACTTTTCAAACAATTGAAAATAATGATAATTCCAAAGCTACAGAAAATCCCACTAATTCCAATTCAAATCACAATCACAATCATGATCCTAATTTTAATCCCAAATCCAATAACATCACCAATTCTTCTCCTCCTCCTTCCTCCTCCTCATCAACAGATAATAAATCTAATCTTGATCCAACTATTCCTGTAGGTCAATCTGATCAAAGTACAAATATTTCAACACCAGTTTTTACAGATGGTCAAGCACCTACTGGAGGTATTTAATTAACCAATAGACTAAAAATTTCTTTATTATTTTTGTTTTTATATATATTTTTTATTAAAAAGAATTTTTTTTTTTTTTGAAAAGTTGAATTTCCAGACAGTTATAAAGATGATCAACATAAAAAGTCAATGATGAATAGTAAATATGATGATGATGATGATAACAACAAAAGTAGTGATGGTGGTGGTAATAGCGAAAAAAAAAAAGTTAAAGGTAAAAAAAAGGGTGATGTTGGAAAAAATGATGATGATAGTAATTTAATCTATTCGGAACCAAATTTACAAAGTACTGGCTAAATTAATTATCTGCTTTTTGAAGGGTGAAGGAAATGCTTTTTTTAAATAAAATGAAATAATTAATATATATTAATATATATATATATATATAAACAAGAATTAAAAAGATCTTATAATAATAATAATAATAATAATAATAATAATAATAATAATAAAGGATTTTAATTTTTTTTTTCTATTTATAAATACAATAAAAAAAGTAAATAATAATTTTTTGGGGATAAATATATAAAAATGAAAAAATATATATATGTATAAGAATAATTAATATATATAAAAATATATATATATAAAATAATATGTAAAAATAATAAAGGGTTTTTAAAATATATGTTTATAAAAACAAAATTTTGTATGTTTATATAAAATATTAATCTTAATACTAATATTTGATATTAATACTAATGTTAAAAAATGATGCTAATGCTGCTAATAATAAACGAAGCAAAGGAAGACAAAACGATTAAGACTAAAATTCTGTATGATCCAATAATCGAATTATAATTATTAAATAGAAACAGACTAAAAAATAATTATATATTGAATTATAAATAAAACCATAATAAATACAAAAGTAAAATTACATAAAGATTGATTATAATTATAATTATATAGTAATAATAATTATAATTATAATGATGATAATAAATTGAAACCAAATATAAAACCACCTTGACTACTTTCGAATGAGAATAATTGTATTATTTCAAATCCCAAAATATACATATACTATTCAACAAAAATCATTAATTTTGGACAAGTTACTATTGCATGATTTAAATCGTCATCACCATCAAGTTTTTGAACATGTCCAGTATTATCATCTTTATATGTTAAAGTCATAACGTGTTCACCAAGTCTTTCATTTAACTTTTCCCTTAATTGAACATAGGTAATGTTTGACGGTACTCTAATAGCAATAAGATCATCTTTATATAATATTTTTATTTTCATTAAAGTTGATGATGATAGCGAATTAGTATTATTAATACCGAAATTGATATTTGAATATGCTGAATTGGTTGTATTATCATCATGTACACGAGATGATTTGATAAAAGGTTGACCACCTCCACCACCTCCACCAACCGAAGGACTACTGCTGTTGCTGTTATGGTGATGTTTGGAAGGTGATTGTAATGATTTATAATTTATAGCAGTGAGAGGTAATGATGTTTGAGAGTCACTGTTGTTGTGCGTATAAGATGAAGAAGATATTGGTACTATTGGGTCAATTGGTGAGTTGTCTGCATCCGTAAGCGGACTTCCCTTTACATCAGCAGCGGCATCAGGTTGTCTAGGATCATTTCTTGTTTCAATATCACCCTTTTTTATGCCAAAAAGTTGATCTAGCAAAGGGTCTTTTAAAATTTTTGGTGGTAAAGTTATCAATTCTTTGACATAAATATCTAAATCGTTTCTTCTCTGTTGTGTAATCCTATCATCTACATATGTTAATGGTCCAGGCATAAATGGTAATATGCGTTTTTTACCTGTACGTCCTGCTTCTTCAGGATATTTATTTAAAAGTGCAATTTGAAAGTCATAAAAATCTTCATAGATTCGATAAAGAATTCGAAAACGCCTTGAACTTAACTCAACACGAATTAAAAACCAATATTTTCCATTCTCGAAATGAAATGATTCAATGGAAGCTGAAACCATTTCGTCATTAGCATTATTATCTTTTCTATTACTATAAACTGATGGTGTATCTTCTCGTTGTCGTATAGGACTAGTTGGTAAAGTTGAAGAAGAATCAGATTTTCTATTGTTATCATCATCACTGTTACTGTTATCCATATTGTATGGAGCAAGTTTAGGAAAGTCCAAACGACCTAATGAAATACTATTTGCCTGATAGTCTTTTGTCATTTTTTTCCATTCCTCAACTTTTGGAACTATTGATTTATCCATTAATTCTTGTACATTCTCAACTGCTTTACCGGTCGCATGATCTCTAATTTCTATAAATGACACTGGTATAAGACCAGGGCCTCCCAGACGACCGATAGGTTTTGCAACAAACCATTCATGATTTGATTGTGCAATTACAATAATTGGTTCACCAGCTTTAGCATCTAATTCATCTGGTCTTTCAGCAAAAAAATCATATAAAACAATACCGTATAATGGTTGTGGTTTTGTCCCAGGCTTATTAATATCTTGTATTATTGCGGTTGAACCTTTATCTTCACTCATCCGATTACTTTTCTCTAATATTTGAAAATATGAAACTGGTGCAAACCCTTGTACGTTTGTAGCTGGATTACATGCTTCGTACCAATTAGGATCATTCTCATTTCCAATAACATGAAAGAAATCTCCTTTTGAAAAAGAAAGTTCATGAGGTGCTTGTGCTTCGTAATCATATAATGCTTTAATAACTTTTTTGGGCGGTAAAATGGATGGTACTGACTCTTTGTTTGGAATAGCAACTGGCGTGGAAATTTTTTCTTTTGTTACAGAGCGACGAAACTCTAGTGGCTTAAGAGATTTCGATACTTTGGCCATTCCCTTCATTTTCTATTTTAGATTAATTAATTTATATAAAGGTTTATTTAATGTTTTTTTAATCACTCACTCTCTCTCTCTCGTACTGCTGGCTAACTGATTATAAGTAATGTAAAATTGTTCTATAAAAAAGACCAATAATTTGCTAATATTATTAATAATATTTTTTTATTATTTTTTTTTTTTTGCCAACAAATAATTTAAATAATCCAATTATTATGCACACTAGACTCACAAAATTCCAATTTAAAATTGCCTTTCCAAAAAAGGAAACCTGTAAGATTTTTTTTGAAAGTTTATTATGGATAACACAGTAAAATATCCGATGTTTGACACGAATTTGTACATATATTTAGTTAGCATTATCAAAACGCGAATAACGAGCCATATGAAATTGCGTATAGTTATATCATATATTAATATATTCTTTAATTCACAAATTCAATTAATTCAAACTGAAATTTTTTTAAAAAACCAATCAATTCATTTATCCAGAATCAATTCAACAAAAGAATCACTGATTAATCCAATAATCTCTTAAAAACAACAAAATTCTTGTGTGTGCATCATCGCACGACACATTAAAATTTCTTTTGAGTAATACACATCTTTTTATATCATTATACATACGCATTATTGATTATTATTACGCTCAAGTATTTTTACCCAAATTTGAAAATCAATTCTAGAAAAATCTCTTTGTCGATCAATTCATACAAATGATTTAAAGTGATATCGGGATGGTCGGTCAACTAACTTATGCATATAAATCAAAGTTATTAACATAGTCAGTCATAAAAATTAATTCGTGGCCCGTCGATCAACGATAGAATCGTCATTAATAAAATTAAAAAAATGAATTTTATTATGCAAGGTCACAATCTAGATCTTTAAAAAAAATGCAACAATCTTTTTTTTCATTATTATTATATTAAAATAATTAGTTTACTTCGGAGAAGCTACGGATTTCGGGTATAAAACATAAAAATTTTTTTACACTTAAAATGTTTTCAGACAATGAAAGTTTTCCTATTACTATAGTTATTTGAAAATAAAATACTTTAATTCGTGATCCGTGAAACATCTGCAAAATTTTGCAGATCACTAATTAAAATTTTCTGGACTCCAACTTTCACCCCCAACGTAACCACCCTTTATGTTTA